GCGGACACAGTGCCTGGAGCCCCGGGGTTCGGCCGGCGCCGAGAAGCGGCTGCTGCTACTCCAGGCGGGACGCTGCGAGGAGGGAGTGGGCGGGAGGGACTCCCGGCTACAGAGAGGCCGGCCCCACAGCCCAGGCCACCTGAGACAGGTAGGGAGCCAAGCCCGGAAAGTGCCCGCCCGTGATTACGGGCTGTCCCAGGAGCGGGGTTGGACTAGACCAGGTGGAGGGGCAGCCAGTTCCGTGTTGGTCTCACCTAGGTCTCTTGTGCCCCTGGGAGGAAGGTGATTTGGGGCCTGACTCAGAAGGCAAACAACTCAGGGGAGGGTTGGGAGCCTCCGGGGAGGGAGTGGATGGCAGTGCTGGGCAGGGAGGAAACGGGTTAGCCCCCACCCCCCACCCCCTATGCTGGCGCTGGGGAGAGGTGGCTGTCCACCTGCACAGGGCTCTGTGGCCAGGATGGGTGTGGGCTCTGAGCCAGCAGGGCTCCAGGCCCGCAAAGACTGAGGAGGTGACAGGTGGGACCCTCCCCATATCAGTACTGGGTAATTCTTGGAGCCCTGAGTGGGGAACTGACAGAGGAGACAGGTACTTGTTCTGAATAAACCTTTCGCAAAACCCCTGCCAAATCTGGATTTCTCCCTCAAGAGCAGGATGAATTTGGGGTCAGAGGGACCAGCTAGCTGTGCTCCAGGCCTCCAGCAGAATCCCAGCCTTCCTCCTACTGGGACTGGAAAGGCAGCGGCCCCTCAGATTCATTGGCTGAGCTGTGGTCTGGGTGACGCTGCGGTCTTACATTCGAGCCGTGGAGGCTCACAGAAACAGGGTGACCCCACATGCACCCCAAGGTCCCAGCCCAGCCTCCTGATCGGGGCAGCTGTGAAGCCATTGTGGCTAGGATGCTTGGTGCATGTGTGCTGCCCTTTTCCCCACCTGACTGAATGTCCCTCCAGGGCACAGATTGTGGCACATTTGTGGTTATACTCGATGGTGCCAGGCACAGTGCTGGGAATTGTAAACTGAACACTGTACCCTCCAAGAGCCGTTGCCCCTGCCATCACACAGGTGACTGACTGTGAGGGACAGGCCTGGGTCCTCACAGTAGCTGCTGTGCCAGTGGGATTCTGAGGAGGCCTGAGCTTGGCACAGGTCCTGGGGAGGCCTGAAGTATGGATTGGGTACGCTGAATTAATGCTTCTTGGTCCTCGTGTGGAATGTGGGTAACAAGGCAGAACTAGTCCCACTCCTGATGGCCTCAGAGCCTCCCTACCTCTCCTCTATCCTTGAAGGTGCCAGGGGGTGAGGAGGTCATAGTCTCCCTCTTATTTGTTCCTAGCTCAGATCTTTCTTGGCCAGGAAGTTCTTCTAATCTGAGTTTTTCCTGTGAGAGTTTGAGCTTTTTTCCTGGTATTTTGGGGTTGGAACAGAGAACCCTGGGAGGCACCTCAGACCCTTGGGCACCCAGGTTTCTGTGGTCATATCCTGCTCTTTGACTTAGTAGATTTCCTTGAGACTGAGGCCTCTAGTTTCTCATGTTCTCCCCTGTTTCTTAGACTTGTCCCCAAGCATTCTTTGCTCTTTGATTTCGTCTTAAGACCTATGCCTGTGGGCTCAGGACTCTGTTGGCCCCCGTCTCCCTACAACAGTCCCTCCTGTGCCCCCCACCATCCACCATGGGTGGATGGGTGCTATTGGGCCAAGTAAGGGCGGACAGAGACAAAGTAGTCAGGGCTGAGATGGGGGAAGAGACCAGGGCCACTGGAATGAGTGGTTGAAGAGAGGAGGGAAGGAAGAGGAGGTGCGTGTGCGTGTGCATGCGCGCGTGTGTGTGTGTGTACGCGCTCTCACGTGTGCCAGTGTGTGACAGCACCAGGGACACAGACAGGATGGGGTGAGTGTGTGTCTGCATTTGGATGAGCTGGTTTCCCAGTGGCCTCTTGAGAGAGCTTGCTGTGACTCACTCCGTCCTTTATCTGTATGGATAAAACCCTGGCCCCACCGTGTGCCCTGGCTCTGGCTCCAGTGGTGCCTGTGGGGGCGGCTGCTCTCCCCCTGCCCAGGCCCCATTCACAGTGCAGCTCTCAGGAGACTGAGTGGCCCAGGAAAGAGCAGCTGCCTCCTATCACCTGGGACCTTGCCGGAGGAGGCGTGGTACCCACGTTCTTGTGGTGGATAAACATCTCTTGGGCTCTCACCCCCTCAGGAGCTGGGGCTCAGAAGCTACCCAGGCATCTGGGCTGGCAGCCAGAGCCCTCCTGCTGACAGCCCTGCTACAGACATGCCGCCATTCCTGCCAGGGGTTCCACAGGCCAAGTTTCTCGCCTGAGCCACAGGCTGGGCTCTGGTCACTGACTCCATTTCCAGCCTTGCTGCTCTCCCTCTCCTACCCAGGCCGTATGTCCCTCTTCATCCGCCATGTTGCCTGGCTCATCCTTATAGGCAGGCTCTCCTCTCTCCATTAGGGTGCCCTTTGCCCCCAGACCCACTGCCTGCTGACTTCTTCCTCTGCCTGAGTTTGTGATCTGCTCTCCCTCCTTACCAGCCTTGGTTCTTGGGTCTCTGAGCCCTGTTCTGGATTGTCAGAGCCCACAACCACGAGCCCTGCACCTCTTGGTAACCTTTGGCTCCCACAGTCCCCCCAAAACGGAGCCCTCCACTGGCCCCACATGCCAGCCTCAGGAGGAAGGAGGGTGAGGCTTGGCAACCCTCCTGAGCATTCCTGCCAACCTTTTCTGACCTGGGCGCCAAGGGGCCTGGCGGGCATCTCTAGGTGCCAGCCTCGCCTCCTTGCTCTGTGCCATACCCCAGGACAAGTGGGTGCTTGTCTGATGGTGGCAGGAGTGAAGAGGAAAAGGCTCCAGGTTGCTTCTGCCTCCTCCTTCTCACACCCAGCCCTGGGGTCAGCTTGTCTGGTCTTTGCTTCTCCCAACCCAGAGCCTCCTTGAGTTTAGGAGGCTCCAGGAACCCAGAGCCTGCAGTTTCCCTTGCATTCTTGTTATGGTACCCACGTTCTTGTGGTGGATAAACAACTCTCAGGCTCTCACCCCCTCAGGAGATGGGGCTCAGGAGCTGGTGCCCTGATGGAAGTTCTGGGGTCTAGTCCAGCCCTCGCCCTTGTGGGTTGGATTACTTCCTCTTCTCTCTCTAGTTATACAACCATCAGCCCCCAGGGTTGAAAAATGATCTTGGTTAGTGATTCTGAGCCTTTTGAGGTCACGAGTCCCCCTCACAGAATCTGTTGAAAGGTATGGTTGTTTTTGCTAGGAAGACATGTACACACACACAACTACTGTATACACACACACCTTGTACACACGCATGCACACACACTCAGGGCCCTGCATCTCACGTCTACCCTTGCATTTCACAAATGAGCACACTGAGGCCCAGAAAAGGGAAGCAACTCTCCCAAGGTCATACTATGAGTCAGAGGGCAGAACCAGGGCCACATCCCAGATGTACTGGCCCCAGACATGTAGGAGTTTTGCCCCCAAATGTGACTTTTGCCTTCTCCCAAGACTACCTGCATGACAGGCAGGCCTGGGCATTCCTCTGTTTCACATTGATCCAAGCACTTTTGAATACCTGTGCTAAGCCAGGCCACTGAGCTAGGAGCTAGTGACAGGGCCAAAAGCCCTGTTCTTGTCCCAGGAGGGTTGTCAGTCCAGCAACGAGAGGGAACAGACTCTAAACAAGAAATTGCACAAGTAGCATCACGTGGAACATTGCTGTGCCCATGAACAATGAGGGTAAAGGGTGTCCTGGAAGATGGTAGCAGAGGGATGGAGTGGAAGATGAGGAGGTGACACTGAAGCAAGGAGCTGGAGGATGAGCTGACAGAGGCAAGAAGGGAAGAGGAGCATCATGTGAGGGTCCAGGGATGTGGGACTAAAGGGCTTGGTGCAGCTGCTCCTGGATCCCATGATTCCCCTCTTCCACCATGCTCACTGGAGAGGGAGAGAAAGAGGCCGAGCCAGGGGCCTGGGCAGGTGAGGAAGTCTTCTGTATGTGAGGTGGCTGCGGAAGGGCTGAGCTAAGCTGCTGCTGATTTGGGGGAGAAGTGGAAGGATTTGGCTTGGAGGTAGAGTGAGGAGGAGGGGGAGGACAGGAGGGGTGAAATGACTCCCCCCATCTTACAAATATCAGGCACTTCTCCAGTTTGCGGAGTATTTCACAACTACAGAGAAGCCTACAAACTTCTAGCTGAACGCCCCCATGCACTCAGAGTCAAGTAGAGCCTTGCCAGCATCCAGAAACCCCTCTTCCTGCCCTGCCAGTCATTGCCTCTCCTCAAGGGGTTCTTCACTATCCCAACCTCTCACAGCACAGATTTGTTTGTCCTATAAGTGAGGGTGTTGTATGTATTCTTTTGCCCTTGACTTTTTTGTTCAACATTCTGGTTGTGAATTTCCTCCATAGTCTGCGTGCAGTTGTAGATTGTTGCTTCTCATTCCCAGATCGTGTTGCATTGTGTGATTTATTCGCTCTGCTACTGATAGGCATTAGGGTT